GCATCAGGGTCTCGGGATCGAACCCACGACCTCTTCCATACCAGACGAGGTAGTTAACATCTTGCCACCATCACGCCCACAATAGGTGACGTTTCAGGCATTCACCCTTCTCCATAGCTTAATGTGCCACGAGGAAGGAACATTGCCCAAAATGTTGCCTATTACACGCGTTTCCTTGCAAGGCCATACCTTGTAAGGAACGTGAAATTTGTGTCATGCTGAGTCAGTCGTTCGGCAAGCCCCAAGTCCCATGCTGTGGGGTAAAATGTGGGTATCCCCTACTTTTTTGTTCCTAAATTTTCTGACCAGCGTGGAAGAGTAGGCCAAAAAATACGCGATATGGATGAGCTCTCTAGAGCTCCCTCTCGTGAAGGCCCTTTTGCCAGCAGTGGTGCGAGTAAACAATTGTAGGGCTGTGCCTTTACATTTTATCTTTTTTTTTGTTATTATTCTACCGTTCTAGTGCAATATCATGGTGTTCTCAACATGTAAATAAGCAAATAATTAACTAATTAAACTCCCTCTGTGCTTCATAATTATTCTGATTAGATACCGGAGGTAATTTTTAAAACTTTTCATTAGCTACAGTTAGGGGCCGTCCATAAACGACGTCACGCGATTTTGGACGATTTTTGATCCCCCCCATCGTCACACGGCGTCACAAAAAGTCAGACACCCCTCAAATATGACGTCACAAAGCTCTGCCCCCCCCCCCCCCCCAAATAAATAAATAATGCTTCAAATCGCTGAAACTATTGTCATTGTAGTGCGTATTTAATGTACCGCTGCACTCTGATGTTGTAGGAGAAAACATTTATTAAAAAGTATATTTAATTAAGTAGAACGTGTTGTCTATATTTATTTAAAGTTGCGCATTTTAATGTGACGTCACATTTTTCAACCCCCTCGTCACACATCGTCACAAATGTCTGACGCCCCCCCCCCCAGGTGCGTGACGTCATTTATGGACGGCCCCTTAACTTTATTTTTAAGGATTTCATAAAGACATTTAGGAACGAATAATTACATATTTTTTAAACCCACCCGTTATCTGTTGTAAATTATTTAAGGAAACATTTTAAATGTATCCCTTTGTTGATTAGTATTAATTAAATTATGAGAAAGTAAAAAAAAAATCCCTTTCATTTACTCCCTCTACTGCATGTATAATTCAACAAAATCGTTTTTACAGGCCTCATGTTTTGCTTTGATACGTAATTAATTTTTTTTCGGTTTAGATAGATCCGTGGAGGTATAACGTCAATTAGAGTCATAACCCTCCACCACCCGACAGAGCTAAATATATAAAGTTGTTGCTAGGCAAAATGTGCCGATTGATTTGCTGTATCAGCAGGCAAATGTCACGTTCAAAATCGAGCACAATTTTAGTTTTTTGAACGTTTTTTTTGTTAGTTTCGCTGGAGATTATATCCGGCATCGTTGGCGATCGTGAAAGCCTCGGTGTGAAACATTTCTTTGCTTTGTTGTACCGCTCCGCTACGGGGGAAGAGTGTGTGGCACAGCGGTTAACGCACCTGGACTACAAACATCAATGAACGAAGTTCGATTAGAATCCACAACCAAGCATTGGTGGCAAATTCTCTCCGAAACGGTGCTGGGCACCCATCCCCTTCCCCCACTAAATCCACACTGACCGGCATGGTGAAGTATGGTCAAACACCTCCCACAGGACCTGTATGGTGTGGGGGGGGGGGCTCATCTTTGTTGTCCTTCATCCCACACCTCCGATTAGCACGGTTGTCTATGTACGGTGCGAAAGAAGTTCAACACACAAACATACATTTGTCCAGAAGTTGATAGGCAAAGTTGGTAGAATACTTAGTAGTAGGATACCTCATGGCCTTCATTTTAACCCAACACAGGGTGGGGGAGGATCTTATCCAGCATGGATTTATAAGGCGCTGGAAATTAATTATCATGATAATTTAAAGTATTATAATATGCCTTTAAATGTTTCTGTTAATTGATTTTACGGTGTTTTCTTCTTCTTTTTACCTGGTGTTTCTATTTTCAAACAGTGTGTCTGATGTCTTACAAATGCACTTGCAAAGGTGTTCCTGATGGCTGCACATTTGAGACCCGTGGTTGGTAATTAGCACGTGATGAATAAATGCCTGATTACCATAACTGAGCTGATATAATTCCCTCCCACCGATAAATTAAATGAATCGTCGTTGGAATTTAGCGATGCAATTTGATCGCGACAATGTCGTGATTGTCGTGATTGCTTATTGGCTGCGGGGATTCACGCCATCCAATTGCGTACGGAATATTCATCATCAGTCACACTCTATCCACTGCTGGATGAATGCCTCCAGACATCGACGCCATCACACGTGGTTCCACAATGCCACAATCCATCCCGCTTCTGCACATGAGCTGATCTTGAGGGTGCCATGGTGGCGAGATGTTTACTACCTCGCCCGGTATCCAGGAGGTCAAGGGTTCGATCCCGACCCTGACGCCTGCTGTAGATTTGGAGTTTGCGTGTCTCTCCCCCCGTGGTCGTGTGAACTTTTCTCCGTGTCCTCCGCTTTTTCCCCTCCACATTTAGAATCGACATGTGTTGAGAGTATTTGGTCGCTGTAAGTTTCCACGTGAAAAACCACATTGTTGAGCTATAATTTGTGGCCAGGCCGCTTCTAAAAAAAGAAAACAGCTATATAGCTCAGTGGGTCTTATCTGATGAAATAACAACAAATAGTTTTTTTTAAAAAAAGTTTCCCGCAGTGTCCCCTGCCCTGGCTGCCATTCTCTCACCATCGGCTGTGATCCCCTTTAAGCGACATGTCCTGCCCAAGCCCAGTCAATCTCCTGCATTTTGGTTGCCACGTCGCTAACTATTGTTGCCGCATGTCCATAGATTCAGTCCGTTTCTCTTGCCCATTATGATTCCAAGCGTTCCTCTCTCTCTCTCTCTCCATTGATTGACAAAGTTTGTTCCATGTTCTTTTGTCAGTGTCGACGCCTCGGATTGCCATATATACGCCGCTGAAATAATGCAATCCCAGCTGAGGGGGAAGTCTAATAAAAAAGATATGTTATATTCTTGATGCAAAGGATCAGATGTGTGAAATAGGCTTACTATGTGCTTGTTGATTTTGTTACTCATATTATGCACAGCGATGAAAATTATATCTAACCCTCTCTAGCCTTGCCGATGAACATCTGGCAGTTCAACCAGCACCGGTTCAACGAAGCCTGACTCCCACTGACAAGACGCCGAATGTTGAAACCGTCACGGAGGTTACTTGCGTTGAACAGGTGCTGCTGGAAACAATGCACTCCCCAAAGGCTGTGTGTGATTTGATGGGACGTGACAACGTTACTTGGATGTATTTTATTTTTACGTAGCACGACAGATATACGAAGGAGGTGCTCTCGTCTGCTTATATGCTTTGCTACTGATACCCTATGAAGGGTCATGTGCGCTGATTGATAACCTCATGCTGACACATTGGCAAGTACATTTTTTTTGCTTATTTTCACATTCACCTTGGAAAAAACTGCTCATCCTTCTCTCATTTGCCTCTTTACGTCATGAATTAGGTCTTAATCCGCCTTCAATCTCCACCTTAGGAATACAGACTTCTCAACCCAACGGTAATTTCCCTCCCGTGTCTTTGAACTCGTTGAATGACTAAACAAACACCTCAGCTGTGGCATGACGCTCCAATCATTATTCCATTCAGCGTAGATGAAACATTTAAATAATTACACTCATTAGCTTCCGATGGTATGTAAATAAAGTGTACACGAAGATCCATAATGTAATTGAATAATGGACAATTTAGAGGTCTTCTAACGGTGTGAGCAAGCTGAGTATAGAAGGGATTTTTAAAAATCTATAATTAACCACACGCATACCCTCAATCGGACGTTAAAAAAAACGCATTAATTTCAAATGCAATTATGCCTGCGTGTTGTAGACCGTGGAAAGGCATTCGATTGATTATAAACTAATGCAGCCATCTAAGGTCCCACAAACCAAGGCCTTCATTAACTAACAAAATGTTTAATAGAAATTATTAGAAGCAATCATGAAGATGGAAAGGCTGCCACGGCGATTTCGTGATGAAAGTGGCGAAGTCGGACAACTCGAGTTCGATTCCTGCTCGAGACCAACATGGCCAATATATAAACCGGTCCCTTACCTCCTAAAACGGTCCCACGAAGACAAAAGCATTGTTTCGGCCACACCACCGCCTCACGTGCCGTGCAGCTTCAACAGGCGCTCGCTAAAAGCACCTGTCCCTTTGGTCTGTGTAAGGGGCGCCACCGTGGCGAGATGTTACCTACCTCGACGTCTGCTGTATATTCGGAGTTTGCTTCTTCTCCCCGTGGCCGCGTGGATTTTTCTCCGGGCCCTCCGGGTTTTTCCCTCCACATTGAGAATCAACATCACGTGTTTGGCTGCTCTTCATTTCCACACGATAAGCCACTTCGTCGGGCTATCGTTTGTGGGCCAGTTTGCTTCTGAGAAAGAGCTATGAAACTCAGTGGGCCTTACCTGGTAAAGTAAAAAAAAAACCAGCGAAGCCCTACGGAGGATCTTTTACCCCATTTCCACCGGCACATCCGAGCCGAGCCACCACGCGGGACTCTCATGCTGCGGGTGATTTATTGTTTCCAACTGGCTATTTTGCCGAGCTGATGCAGAACTAAACGGTTAGACGTTGTTCTCCCGCGATATGCCTGAATGTGGCTCGGGGGGGGGGAGGCGAGCAGGCACACGGGGGGGGGGGGGTGGGGTGGGGGGTGGGGCACGGCTGGGGAGGCACAGTCGATCATCGCCGTTGCCCCGTGGCATCGAGTCGTTGATATTGAACTCGCGTCGTTGCCGGTCTTCCGCGCGTTCGGCCGCTCACGACGTCACGGCTCTGGCTTCCCAGGAGTGGAAAAAAACAACTGGCCTCGGCACGGTCCGGTTGTGCAGTGAAGAAAAAACCCCAAAAGGCCCTGGTCTGTGTGCCACTCACCTATCTTCTGCATGCAGCTGTGGAGCCTCGACTCGAGGTCCAGCACCCGCCGCTGCAGGCTCTCGAACTCGTTGCCACCAATCTCGTCCTGGATGCTGCCCAGCACCACCGACAGATTGTTGAGCTCTGCCTTGAACTGCTCTATGAGCCGCGTGTCGGCCTTGTACTGCTCCAGCACGGGGATCAGCGGCACCAGCTCGTCCATCTTCTCCTTCAGCTCCTAGGGCGATGGTGAGGGGAGAGAGGAGGAATGGATCGGTGAGCGAGATGGCAGAATGGAGTTTTTGGAGTTTGTCGGCAGTGAGTGAGAAGCTCCGAGTTGTCCCATTATGACGGCACAAAGGCACACTATTTACATCCATCAGCTTTGCAGAATACTTACAGCTTCAGTCTACCCAGAGATCCGCGGACTCTCACAAGAGGGCCCTGGACAGACATAGAGACGCACAGACCTCCGTAGCTCAGCGGCTGTCTCCGATCATTCAAATGTTACACTTTTGCAGCCCTTTGTCGAGCCACTTCTGGATTAAGGCCTTCCTTCCCACGCCATCCCTTCACATGTGCTTGTTAGTGCAGCGGGTTCGCTGATAATGCTCGCCGTACATTGTCGATACATTTGCAGTAATTGCACGTTTATACTGAAGGGGCGACAGAGCCTTCTCTATAGCTGCCCCCTCACTTTGGAACTCTCTCCCAAAACAAATCCGTGACTGCACCGACCTTTCAGCGTTCAAATCATTGACTAAAACTCACCTTTTTAAAATTGCTTTTAATGTTTAGCTAAGTTTGATGTGTTTTGAGTGTTTTTACCATTTGATGTTGTTTTTGCTGCTTTTATGATTTTATGTAAAGTGTCTTTGAGTATTCAGAAAAGCGCTCACAAATTAAATGTATCATTATTAAGGGCATAGGCCACTGTGCGTGTGTGTGCGTGCTGTTAGTGGTCGTGTTCTGGGGAGCGGTGGGGTAGCCGTTTGCAGACTGCGCAACGAACACGGCACCCCGAATTTGATTCCCGCTCACGGCCAACATCGGTGATGGTTATCTGATCCAGCCCTGGGCCTCCCCTACGTCGACTCGGCCTCAAATAAGTACCTGGTGCGGTATTATAAACATCACCGCTAGGGGAGACAAAAGCGGCCGGGCGTGGTCTTTGCACACCCGCCCCCAGTGACGATTATTTGAACCGGTCCTGGGCCTCTCCGACCCCCTCGTGTGCCGTGCCAGCCTTCGTAGGTGCTCACCAGCAGCGCTTGCCCCCAACAATGACCAATTGCTAAATTACCGAACGGCATTTTGTCCGCCTCTCACGAACGCAGCTGACGGCGGTTTGCAAAGGGCTGCTCCCCGACCCACAGCGGTGCCGCCCTCTATCGAAGGGCACCTCACAGCAAGGAAGCCGAGCGGCGCGGGTACAAAGGACGTTGCTCCCCTGTCGTCCTTGCAGCCTTTGACGGTTTAGTTTTTGTTTCGGCTTTTGCGGGAGCCTTTTGTCATTTTCGCTGAACTTTAATGGCCGTGAAAAATGGATTTCGGTGGCGACTAGGATAAAATTGCGCAGGCCCCCGTTGCTCTTTAAAATATATACGTCAAATATAGCGGCCGTAAGGAATTTAGTCTCTTCGTTATGTTAAGCTAATTATTAACGGGCAATGCCCCCACTCGCCTGGTCGTGTCTTAGCAAAGGCAACGTCTCACCCAGCGCACTTGACGTGCTGTAACTCGCAAATCCTTGTCGTTTGCTATTTTCGGGGATTGTTGAATCTCTATTTAATTTAATTTCAAACCGAAACTTTCTTGCGATTAAAAAAAAAATGCGCATCCCAGCTAGAGGTCACGAGCTTGCGTTGGAGATCGAGTTTAATAAATGTGCGGACAAAAAAACGATCGAGATACAGACGTAAATGCGTTTAAGGTCTACGACTAAATCTAACCAAATACTGCCTACGGCTCTCCGGTGCGCTTTTCTCCCAGCCTCTGACCACCTTGCGGTGTAAATCATTTTGGCATTGGCAGTGATGCACAAGCAAACATAGTGAAACAAAACTCAACACATTCATCGATACAATTGTGGCCTGAAAAAGGAAACAATATACAATGGCCACATTTTGCACCAATTGCCCTTCTGCATCTCCAATTAGCTCGGTTGGATACGTACGGTGCGAAATATGTTCAACATACATACCTAAGATAAGCAATCCGTAAGAGTATTTCGAGGTGGGCTTCATCTAAAACTAAACTTTTTATTTTACCAGCTAAGGCCCACTGAGCAAGCGATAGCTCAACGAAGTGGTTTATCACGTGGAATTTTATGAGCAACCAAATACTCTAAATGTATGTTTCTACATGTGGAGAAAAAAAAACCAGAGGACCCGGAGAAAAATCCACTCGACCGCGGGGAGAGAGACACGCAAACTCCAAATATACATCAGGCATCAGGGGTGGGATCGAACCCAGGACCACCGGCATACCAGGCGAGGTAATTAATGTAGTGGCAAAAATCAGCTCACGCGCAGGAGTGGGATGGATTTGTGGCATCATGGGATTACGTGCGATGGCGTCAGCAGACATTCGTCCAGCAGTGGATAAAGCGTAACTGATGGTGAATATTCTGTACGTAAATGGATGGTGTGAATCCCTGCAGCCAAATCAGCGGTCGCTACATTCACAACATTGTCAAACGTGCACGACATTGTCAAAACGATTTTTTTGTTTGCATGTTGTTAAAAAGAAAGTGAATGTTGAGATGCTTTTTTTTTTTAAATTCACCCCCCACTTCCCCCCCTCCCTATGCATTGCTTTCCGCCAGGCGTACCTGAAAGTGCCGAGCCAGCAGATCCTTGCGGTCCTCCTTGGCCTCCTGGAACATCTTGTCGAGGGCGTTCATCTGCTTCTCGATGCCCTCGATGTACTTGATGTCTCGCTGTGTGCGCAGATCGAGGACGGCCATGGACTGCGAGATGTTCTGCACCTGTGAGAGGGGATGTCGTTGGCCCCGCGTCGGTTGTCATTTCGGTGATAGCCGTGGGGGAGGAAACCTTCTCGTGGAAGCGCAAAGGTCGATGCAAACGCCGAGGCGTTATAAAGCCCGCGATATTAATGCACGTGTGTACAGTTTGTTCTCCTGGAGCGCGTGGTTTTCACAACGCGAATTGGATACGACGGGACGAATGCATTAGAGGAACACTTTTTGTTATAACACGGACGCAAATTGGGTTTAACGCGATCGAGTGAACGGAACTACGTCACACGAGTAGGAATAAGCGGCTGTACGGCTGCCTCAGCGTGGCATCACACAAGGCATTGGGAAGCTGCTGGATGCTTCTAGATGCTAACCTACGCATCTCACGTTTTATTGCGGACTGTGCTTTAGCCTATATTATTGATTATAATGAGATTTTTCCATAATGCGGCCACGTTACAGGATAACAAACTGCACGTTGAATTTATTTTTTTGCTGTACACAGCCAACCGTGCAAATTGTAGGCGCGGGGGAAGGACAACAAACTAAACACAAAAAAGCAGTTATAAAGAAATGCGTTTTCAATCCAAATTTAAAAGCAATTTCTTGAGCGTTTGCATTGTCCTTGTGCTGTTTACATTTTAGCCTTCTTCGATCCATAGCACCTGTGAGACAAAGTCATGAAGAAGCTGTCTCTGGTGTAGGCCAATCAGTTATAAAGGACAATGCGTACATTATCAAAGCATAATTTGCTTGCATGTGTCACCACAAGCATGTTTCCCCACAAGCATGTTTCACCACAAGCATGTGTGGTTAATGCAAACTTGATGCCTCGTAATTATAGCTATCTATTTGGTGTTTGAACATTTTAACACCTCCCGTATTATGACCAGAAATAGGGTGAAGCCCATTATTTTTATCATCTTAATACTGCCCAAAAGACGCATGTAGGTACGAATACATTGTCCCGCGTTAGGGCGGTGCGGTGGTGCAGAAAGTTGGTGATCAGAGTTCGATTTCCCTGGTCATGGCTGGCATGAGTGGCAAGTGATGTTTGACCTGGTCTTGAGCCCCTCCACCGTCATCAACCCTCACCTAGCATTTACGGTGAAGTATGGTCAAACACATCCCATTGTTACGCGACGGTGTGGGCAATCCATCGACCGTCAGTGGATTAAAAAAAAAGCGCCGCATATATATGTCATCATTGTGCTTCTGTCAATATAGTTGGTTCGTATGTCATCTACGCATTGTGTGTGTGTGTGTACATCCTGTACTATATATGGCATATATTTGTATGTATCCTGTTGTTCCTAATCGATAATAACACCGGGCTGGTTGTTGTTGTTGTTGTCGTTGCTATGGGCAGGAGCAGTGGCGGTCGCTCAGACCAAAAAAAACACCTTACACGAAGGCGAAGGATAGGCCATTATTTTTACTTTTAGGATTAATTGACACATCGCTTCACGTTTGCAAATGATTTAAAACGCCGGCTAATGAATATAACAGCGGCACAGTGACGCTAATAATATAATACCCACGTTTCTCAACGCGATCAAACCTTTGTAATTGTGGTAATTAAATACAAAAAAATGAAATCTCGCGTAGCTTGTCAGATGTGTTTGGCGAAAGCGACAATGCATCGACAGCGCGAGCCCAACAGCCGCCACATCCCTCGCTCAACATCCACACGCGCCACCTCCAAGTGGCCTGACGGGTGGGGTGGCGGCGATGCCCACCGGAGATGGTTATTATAATTACGGCGACAGGTGTTGTCAGATAAAATATGGTGGTGGTGGTTTTTACGCTCAACAGCGGTGAATAAATTATTTGCGCGGCCATCATTGGCTCCGTCATCCGCAGCATTTGTTTAACGGTCTGCGAGAAAATGCAATCAGTAGGTTTCTGTGTCGCTGCGGATCGGCCTGCTCATGGAGGGTAAAAATCGCTGTATTATAATACGAATAATTAATGTTTGCTCGGCATATGTAAGATATGCATGTTCAAAGTAGAACGTGTGTGTGTGTATAGATATATATGTATTATGGGGAGCGGGAGCGCAGCGGTTAAAACGCTGGGCTATGAAACCGGCGACCCGAGCTTGAATCCCGCTCACGGCCAACACCAGCGGCGACTATATTTGAACTGTCCTGGGCCTCTCCTACCCCCTCGTGTTCCGTGTCAGCCTTAATCGGTGCTGCTCATTAGCAGCACTTACCCCGACAATTTGTTTAGGCTATACGGGGAATCTTTGTCTGTTTTTTATGTGTGTGTGTGTACATATATAGGGCAAATACACACTCGCATATAAAAAGTGTTAAAATGCATTAAGAAAAAATGCCATCCCATCACTGGCAAGGCCTCCAATAGCCAACACCAATTGCGAGATTTCATTGCGTAGGTGTTCTGCCCGATGCGGTTATTCCCCATTACACCCGACACGTTTTTTGCCAGTGGCAGGTGTTAGTGTGGCTCTGGGAACACGGCGGCGGTGGGAGGGAGGCTCTTGGCGTGGGGTGGAGAATTGTGCCCTTTTGTGTGACCCTGGATTTGCTCATCTGCTGCAGAAATTACTGCTGTTTGCAGGCTAAATCGTTACACCATTATGATATTTTTAACGAGCAAATGAATTCCCATCTTTTTATGAATCTGTGTTTTTTTTTTATTCTTCTACATTCGTTGTCCTGATGGTAACCTCTGCAGTCCGTTGACCTTCTGCTCCCCATTTGTTTGTGAACGTAAAGCGTTATTTTTTTTATTCGCTTGATACGATCTGAATTTATGCGCAAACGACAACAACAACATTCGGAGGCCATTAGCTTTACCGAAACGCACCTTCTCTTCATTGTTTTTTGTTAATTAAAAGGCACGGACGCAAGCACGCACGCGGGTACACGCGCATGTACTACGTTGGGGCCCCGGTGCGCATGGCGGCGATGATGACGACGACGATAATGGCAACGAGAGTCACGAGCCAATACCGGCGGCACGCCCGTCGGTTCGAACTCTGGCCACTGAGTACCCGCCGGCTCAATTATACGAAGGGAAATGAATCCATCCATCGTGCGCAGCCACGTGGGCAGCGCGGGATTGAGCGGGGGTGGCGGCTCGGCACGCATGTACGGGCGCACGGAGCGCGCACGCTGGGACGCGCTTTCATTGACCCTCGAATGGCCCTGCTTCTTCCCCTTAGCTCTTCCACGTTCACCTCGTCTCTGCTCTTCTCCGCTCCTCTCCCCCCCCCCCCCACGTTTGGTTTTCGAATGAGCGAAAGCCAAACGACGACGACGACAACAGCAAAGCGTGGGCAGGTTCCATGCAATTATTTTGAAAGCGATGACAGACCAGGCGGGGGGATTCTCGGGGTCGTTTTTTTTCCCTTCTTTCACCACGAGGCGGAGCGGGGAGTTGGAAGCGGCGCGGGTCCGGTGTGAGTTCGCTCCAAGACACTACAGGTGACATCACCCACAAAATGCTCGGCAGAGCCTCCGCCGAGAGAGAGAAGGAGGGACACGGCACCTGAATGAGAAGTGCTCCCCTGTGAGCGTGGGGTTTCCGACCTTGTACTCCCCCCACCCCCAACGCGCACGATATACCCGGCGGTTAAATTTGAGACGGTCTGCCGCTGCCGCTGCCGCTGCTGCCGCTGCTGCTGCCATCGAGCGCAATATAACCCTCGGCCCGTCCATCCGTCCGTCGTCAAGGTTACGCGCTTTGCAATTATAATTGCAAAGCGAGCGCACGCTGCGCACGGCACAGGTGTCCTTGACCAGCGGCGTGGGGCGCCGTTGGCATCGGCCCCGGCGCAAAAAATATAAAACGGGCATCATCCCCCCCCCCCCCCAACCCCGGCTCTGTCCTCACCTAACTGGGTTCCTCCGGCACCCAGGGGCCCCTGGTACAGTTGCACCACCTGCAACATCGACGGCTACGCAGCTGCCCTCGGACCCGATGTTTGATTGACAGATGCGCCACCCGTGCCGCTAAGTGGCACCGTCCGCCCCGCCGCCCCCCCACGACACGTACCTTCTCAAGCAGCTGGCGAAGCTGGCGGGAGCGAGCGTCCCGCGAGCACACGCTCTGTTGCGGCGCCACCACTGTGCACACGCACTTCCCGTCCGCGTCCTGGGCCGAGGTGAACACCTGCCAGCCCTCGTCCGGGTTCGGTATGAAGCCCTGCAGGCGGGGAGAAGGAAGGGGGGGGTGGGGTGTGTGCGCGGAGGGGGGCGCGGAGGGGGGCGCACAGGCCGAGCGAACGTGGTTTGGTCCATCGGTCAGCCGGGTGTGCGCGGGGCGCGTGCGTGTGTGTGTGTGTGTGCGCGGGGCGCGTGTGTGTGTGTGTGTGCGCGGGGCGCGTGTGTGTGTGTGCGCGGGGCGCGTGTGTGTGTGTGTGTGCGCGGGGCGCGTGTGTGTGTGTGTGTGAGCGGGGCGCGTGTGTGTGTGTGTGTGCGCGGGGCGCGTGTGTGTGTGTGTGCGGGGCGTGTGTGTGTGTGTGCGCGGGGCGCGTGATCTTTCAAAACCGCCATCCGGGAAATTGCTGGCTCGTATCGCTGCTGGCGGAATTGCCTATGCGAGGATGTTTTTGCCTACTCTTCCGCGAGGGATCGCTGTCTCGGAAGAGGTGGGGGCGGGGGCATGTTTATTTCCAGGCAGGCACCGCGGTGGCGAGATGTTAACTACCTCGCCCGGAATACAAGAGGTCGTGGGTTTGATCCCAATCCTGGTGCCTGTATATTTAGAGTTTGCGTGGTTTGCCTGTGCTTCGCGTGGATTTTTTCTCCGGGTCCTCCAGTTTTTGACCCTCCAACATTTAGAAGCAACGTGCGTTTAGAGTAATTTGGCTGCTATACATTTACGCGTGATGAGTGTCTTTTGATTGGGCAATCATTTGTGGTCAGGTCGCATCTGAAAAAGAGCTCAGTGGGCCTCACCTGGTCGAATAAAAATAGAAATAGCTTCAACTGCGAGACAGATTTGCATCCGAACCATTCGTAATCCATTCGCATTCACCGATTTGTTCCCCCCCCCCCCGCCCCCCCTACCAGTTGCACGCTAATTTCCCGATCGTTTGAGTCTGTTAAAATGACGAGAGACTCCATCGACGCTCGCGCAAAATGTCTGCAGGCTGGAAACAAGTGGGTTCAACGGCACGGCGGTGCGCATCGCGCGTAGCAAAAGCTCCTCGGCATTATCCAGACCACTCGGCTCAAAATAACTGAAAGTGTGTGGAGGAAATGTTATCGCTCGTCGAGAAGAAAATGTGGCCAGCTGCTCGCCTGGATGAGGCCGAGAGAGCTTGTGTTCAGTTCGTCCTGAGTGTCTCTGCAGTGTGACAGTAGATGCTGGATATAAGCATGGCCCCTGCAAGAGCCAAACGCAGGCCATCCCTGGGTTTGATCTTCCACGAAGATCATGGTCCACCCTAAAACCGCACCCACGGCGCAAACCATGGCAAGATGCGGATACCTGATGCACACATGGAACATTGAAAACTCTCCGGTAGCGTGCGACTGCGGTTATCCAGAACAGATCGTACACTCTGCCGCTCCTGGCGTGGTTATCTGGCATGGCCACCTGAATGTGAAATTGTAGATGTTGTTGCACTGCATCGACATCCGCCGTACGGAAGAAAAACAAGAAGAAGCAGCACGGCCCGTTTGTGGAAGAGCGTGGGCACTGCCACCTCTGCCAAGTTGTCTGGCCAAGGTGGGCGAGGAGGTGAAAAATACCCTCCCTGGAGGGACTCTCGAGAATCACAGCGGTGGCCACATGGCGTCTCGCGAGCCGCATGCGGCTCTTTTAATCCACCACGTGCGGCTCTACCGAAGGGGCATAACGTAGAGCGTGCTATCACTGCAGTAGCAAAAGAGATCATGAATGTCTCCCGTGCTGTGCAGAAAACTGTCATGATATACACTTATATATACATACACTTGGCTCATTGCGGAGCTTGTGGACACATTTTGTCACTTGGCCTGTTAGAGGTTGTCCACGCCTGCTCTTCAGAGTCTCTTCCACACCTCCGATTAGCGCGTGGTTGGCTACGGATGGCGCGAAAGAAGTTCAAATACATACGTACGTACATAGAGCTCCCTCCATTGGAGACATTTCCACCAGCAGTTGTGTGAGCAATTAATTGCAGGGCTACACTTGTACCTCCTTTCCTTGCGAGCGTAGGCCAGCTGTGCTTATATCAGAAGTTTCCCTTCACCCACCACCCCCCAACGTCAGGATAACGTAAGCGTGCGTTGCTAATGCCGTAGGGTGTGCCAATAGCCATCGTCCACGGCTGTCTGGAACGCTCTTCCTTCCGATGTTTGGAAACAACTGGGAGCTCAGCAACTTTTAGAATCCAGATTTAAAACTCATTTCTTGACAACGGCTTTGCGCGTTGAGTTTGTTGTCCTTCCCCCGCACCTCCGATTGGCGCGGTTGGCTACGTACGGTGCAAAAGAAGTTCAACATAGCACGGTTGGCTACGTACGGTGCGAAAGAAGTTCAACGTGCTACGTACGGACGTTGAGGAACGTTCTCAGAATAGAAGAGAGATTAAAATTTTCATTTGTTTGGCGCTCAATTTGCGACTGCAACGCCGGTGGCGCGTTGCGAAGCGCGCACAGAAACAACAACGATAACAACAACGATAACAACAACAATAACAACAACGACAACAACGATAACAACAATAATAGCAACAATAACGATAACAACGATAACAACAATAACATCGACAACAATAGCAACAACAATAATGACAACAACGATAACAACAATAACAGCAACAACAACAACGATAACAACAATAACAGCAACAATAACGATAACAACAATAACATTATCGACAACAATAGCAACAACAATAATGACAACAACGATAACAACAATAACAGCGACAATAACGATAACAACAATAACATTATCGACAACAATAGCAACAACAATAACGACAACAACGATAACAACAATATCATCGACAACAATAACAGCAAAAATAACGACAACAGCCGCATCAGCGGCATCGGCACATCGATAGGGCTGTGGTTAGACAGGAGTTGAGCAGCAGCAACAACAACAACAAAGCCCCCCTTGTTGTGTGGCCTGCACATGTTTTTCATCAAATATTCAGGGCCCTGCGAGAGCAGCTTCGTCCAATTGGGGGGAAAATGCTCGAACCTACTTCGGCACCGTCGTCATTAGCAAAATAAGTAAAAAAAACAACAACCCTAGTCTCGTACCCAAAGCAAGGATGTAATCAGCTAACGGAGAGGAGAGGGTGGGGGGATGGGGGCGGTGTCTCTCCGGACGACAAGGGGGCTTTTGGAATGGCGGGGTCGAGAAGGATTCCGCAGCTCGGACGCGAGCGAGCGAGCGAAGCGTCGAGGGGTTGACCATACGGCCCAAGTTGGCGGCGGCGTAGAGGCGGAGAGAAATCAATGGAACGTTACCCACATTCATTATTGGCGCTGTCCCCGTGCGGACAAATATAACGGGCTAATGTGTCAGCCCAGAAGGACGAAATGCCAAAATGTTATCCAATTATATTGTATTTAATATATGTAGAAATGTTTAAATGTATAAAGTACTATATTTAAATATATAACTGCAAATGTGTTGGGAGGTTTTCTTTTTTAAGCGAACGTTCGGTGACGTGGAGAGCATTGCAGCAATTAGTGACAACAGTTGCAACGTGAATCATTTCCACGAGCAGAGATTATGTGTGAAAAACGAATTTATTATAAATGGAAATTAAAAATAAATAATGGGTTTTAATCATTCCCACCCCCCTCCCCACCAAAAAAGTTTCCAGGTTTGTTTTTATGTGTCGGTGCGCAATTAATGAAGCGTTTTAAATTTAATTTAAAACCCCAACGGCGGTATCTGTAGCATCTCACGAATAACTTTGGGGCTCCGATACGATGTGGTGACTTGCTATGCACTTTAAAATCGAGGTTGAACACTAATTTATTTTATAACTGCTTTTTGCTTTTAAGTTTCTTGTCCTTCCCCCGCACCTCCGATCAGTACGGTTGGCTACGTACGGTGCGAAAGAAGTTCAACATACTTACTTGACTTGTTTTGTAAACAAGTCAAGTTAGCTGTCAGTCCCGAAGGCTGCCAGATTTCACTTAAAATCCCAACTCTTTGGTAAGGGTTGCTCGATGAGCTGATGTACAGCCCAAGTGACAATGTGCACCTTTGAAGAAGCTGCGAGCAGACCTCTGAACTGTTTAAGTGCACCACACTGCGAGTTCCAGTGACAACGTATTAGTCAGGATTCCCTAAATTGTTAATGTTGCGAGCTGTGATTTTGTACTTTGGTTATCTGATGTGACAGTTCGCGCCAGGGGAGGCACAGTGTTCATTTGTGCGTGTGTGTGCATGTGTGTGCGTGTGTTGGTGTCACTGAGTGTGTGTGTGCATGTGTGTGTGTTGGTGTCACTGAGTGTGCGTGTGTGCATGTGTGTGTGATGGTGTCACTGAGTGTGTGTGTATGTGTGAGTGTGTTGGTGTCACTGAGTGTGTGTGTGTGCATGTGTGTGAGTGTTGGTGTCACTGAGTGTGTGTGGGTGCATGTGTGTGTGTTGGTGTCACTGAGTGTGTGTGTGCATGTGTGTGAGTGTGTTGGTGTCACTGAGTGTGTGTGTGTGCATGTGTGTGAGTGTGTTGGTATCACTGAGTGTGTGTGTGCATGTGTGTGAGTGTGTTGGTGTCACTGAGTGTGTGAGTGTGTTGGTGTCACTGAGTGTGTGTGTGTGCATGTGTGTGAGTGTGTTGGTGTCACTGAGTGTGTGTGTGTGTGCATGTGTGTGAGTGTGTTGGTGTCACTGAGTGTGTGTGTGCGTGTGTGTGAGTGTGTTGGTGTCACTGAGTGTGTGTGTGTGCATCTGTGTGAGTGTGTTGGTGTCACTGAGTGTGTGTGCATGTGTGTGAGTGTGTTGGTATCACTGAGTGTGTGTGTGCATGTGTGTGAGTGTGTTGGTGTCACTGAGTGTGTGAGTGTGTTGGTGTCACTGAGTGTGTGTGTGTGCATGTGTGTGAGTGTCACTGAGTGTGTCTGTGTGCATGTGTGTGAGTGTGTTGGTGTCACCGAGTGTGTCTGTGTGCGCGCACCTCTGCGTGCGTGTGTGATTGTGTTTCACGCCGCCGTGTGCACGTGAGCGTGTGTCTCGGTGTACGTGCGATTGAGTAAGTGAGCACATCCATGTGACCGTCTGTGTATAATGAGTGTGTGTGCGCGCATTGGTGTTGCGTGTCCAGCGGAGAGCGGCGGTGTAGCGGTTAGCGCACTGCGCTACGAACCCAGCGAGACGGGTTGGATTCCTGGTCACGGCCAACACAAGTGGCGATTATCTGAATCGGTCCTGGGCCTCCCCTAGGTCGACTCAGCCTCAAATTAGCACCTAGTGCGGTGTGTAAATATCGGCACAAGGAAGATAAAGGCGAGCGGGCGTGGTATTGGCTATCAATCCCTTCGTGTAGCGTGCCAGCCTTCAGATGTGCTCGCTAACTGCATTTACCTCTGACAGTCTGCTAACGCTATATGGGGGATCATTGTCTTTGTTCTGTGTCCACGTGTTGCGCGCGTATCTGTACGTGTCTTTGTCTTTTTGGAGTTTTAATGTCTGGCCACGCTCAAAACCCATATCAATTTGAATTTGAATCAGTTGTGGGCCACCCCCAGGTTGTTTCAGCACAAAATTACTGCACCGAGTATACTGCGTGGAACATCAGGACTGGATATACAAATTTATCCACCCCTTCCCCACATCAATGCACTCCAACATTCATAGGTGCCCGCTAACAACATCTTCCCATTCATTTGTTTCACTCTGTCACAAATTAGCAGATATTCACGAATAATTTCTGGATTAACAAAAACGTTATTGAGCTGAGTCACGAAAAAAAACCGGTACTAATGAATGCTGGTAAATGTCACTGGTGTGAGATAATGATTTCGCCGTTTGATAGACTACGCCCTTTGATGCCAACAAAGTTAGTGTTTAAAACAGCAGCGAAAGGTGTGCGCATGGCACACTTCCATTGTATTGTTAAAAGTTTTGACCTCGTAAGTTATATTTATATCTGGATATCACGTGAATTACCACCGTACCGTCGTATTAGTAGTAGCAGTGGTATCCTTCATTTGACCGGACAGATGAAAATGCAGGTGTATTTTTTGGCAAGGGCGACCGCAAAGAGGACACAACCTATAGGATAAATTCTGCCCTAAGAGAAATTACGAGCACAGTGGACCGTGGGTGTATAAGATGAGACAAAGGAATGGGATTCTTCCATGCATCACATTAATCTGCTGCGCATCATACGAAGTACAACAAAGCCCTACGAACAGCTTCAGTGAGGCTGGCGTTACAGACTGCGTGAAATGCCGCGTGTCGTTTCCTTCAGTTGTGATTCCATTCCTGTGGAACGGACCATCTTCATTATTATCACCACCACCACCATCATCATCAGCAACAGCAGCAGCTATGGTCAAACCACTGCTGGACAATTTAACTGACCGACTCTCTTAAAAAGACCACATTGCGGTATGCGTTGTGTGCATATCGTGCCATACGCACGTGTCAGACGCACGTACATCCGATAATAAAACAAATGCAAAGATCCCCCCATATAGCCTTAACAGCCTGTAGGGGCAAGTGCTGTTGGCATGCACCTATGAAGTCCGGAACGACACACGAGGGGATGGGTGGCCAGCACCACGCACGGCCGCCTTTGCCTCCCTAGTGGCGATGTTTACACAATCGCAAACCTGGTACTCATTTAAGGTTGAGTAGATCTAGGGGAGGCCCAGTACCAGGGTCACATACTCGTCACTGGCGTTGCGCCGCAAGCAGGACTCGAACTCGGGTCGTTGTGTTCGTAGCGCAGCCTAGGGCTAACCGCGACACCACCGCTCGTCACGTACCAGCACCACGACTACCAACCACCACAACCACCACGATATCTGGCACCTCGCTGCAGGCTTCAAAATTAAATTGAAAATGAATGTAGGGCTCCCCTTCCTCTGTGGGCCGCGTAACGGTGCCAAGCAGCACGATCACAATTCCTAGTTGCCCGCACGTACACCAGAAGACACAACGGCAGGCGGGCGGTCGAGTGGGCAATCATGCCTTCTCTTTGCAAGTGAGAGAGAGAGAGACAGACTGAGAGAGAGAGAGAGAGTGACTGAGAGAGAGAGATCGCAGCTCGTCAAGGGTTAACATTAGCCAGTGCGTCAACCTCACGCGTCGCGCCTTGCGGAGTCAAATGGAGTGCGGATTTTTTTTTTAATGTGATTCACAGTCCATTAGCAATCTCTTGAACGGCTCATTAAAGACCGTGTGCCCCGGCGAGCACAAAAAAAGGATGTTGAGCCCCCTTTTAACCCAGCGCGGAACGCCGCGAATGTAATGGGACCTGAATAAATACGATGAGCTATTTGACGACGCAACGAAAATGTCACCGTGATTTCTACCGACACGTGTTCTCTAGCTCGCCAACCCTTTGCTCTTTTCATTCCTTAATTAACAAACAAAAAAACAATTCCTCAGAAACTTTAAATTCTTGCCGGAACTCATGAGCGAAGCTGCGCAGATCAATACAGCGGCTTTATTATGACACGCGAGCATTCATTATTAACGTGCATTCGAATGCCTAGATTTGCACGCAGTGTGGCTTATGCACCCATGTGTATGGTGTATACATTAGGGTGACCTATTTTTGCATCTTTTTAAAACAACAATAATAAAACGATGGACGGGGGGGGGGGGGGGGGGGTTACAAACGGAATGGTGGCAACACAAATAATGAAAACAATAACAACAATCGTAGTCTGGTGTTCATCACATGCCTTCCCAGGGTCTCATGACACAACCCACGATATAACTGGAGCTTTGCTCCAATGCTGGTTGGTATTCGGGGGGTGGGGGTGGGTGGGGTTGGGGGGGGCTGAAAATACGTAGCGACCGCTGTGTGTCTCTCTCTCTCTGCTCCATCACAGCAGCAACCCTTTGGGTCTCTCAGCCGAGATGGAGCTCGATGCTCCTCCCGTTGTTTGGCCGCGCAGCGCGCCCGAGCACCGAGTCCCTCGAATGCAGATCTCATCACATCTCTCACGTGGCATATGCAGGGGAGAGATTTGTGTTGCTGACCGTGTGATTCTCAGTTGCTCACATATAAACCAGCCGAATGAGCGCGCTGACATATTGGTGAGCTCTTCTCCCCTACCGCCCATCCACCGCCTTCTCATCCCGCTCCATCTATCCCTCCCTCTCTCCCTGCCTCTCCCCCTCTCTCCTTCGCTCCCCCCACCCTTATCTCTTTCTCCGTCCCTCCCTCGATCTGCCGCTCGCTGGCAGTCGCACGCCAAATCCCATCCTCCCATGCACACAACCTCATCACGGCCACTGTTACTGTATCACTCCTCCACCCTCTCCACCACCCCCGCACCCCCACTAATGATTTTCGTTATTTTTATGTAATCTTACAATGCGGCCGATGAGCTGGCGGGCACAGAGGTCGATACGAACAGAACAACATTGACCCGCTGTTAGACACTTTGCATACTTGGTGGACTGAGTGGATGCTTGTGCCTTACCGCATACACACAGCCACTCACGCGCTACACTACTACACGCACGCACACACACGTGCGTTCCTTAGTTTGTCGTTGACGCGCGTCTGCAGAGAGTGGCCGTAGTAATTACGACAGAACCACCACGTGCCAATCACGATCAAACGTGTCCGGTAATTGCATTAGCGCTCGCTCGAGAGAGAGAGAGAGAAGAGAGAGATCTTCCTATTCCAATGTACAGTGTACCGAATCAATGCACTTTTCAATTATGGTTGCGCGCCAAAGAGAATGGCAGACACTTCATCGCAAATTATAAATCCCCCACGAATCCATAATGTTCAGTTGCCCGCACGGAGCAATATACATCCCACACACACGTACGGATGCGTACAGACAGACACACACGGACGAGCAGGTGGGCCCAGAGAAAACACAATTAAGGAGCGCGCGAGCAATTAACGGAATCGATAGATCTATGAAAATTGATTCAAGTGCAGACACAAAGACAAAGATCCCCCTGTATAGCCTTTGACATCCCATCGGGGCAAGTGCTGTAAGCGAGCGCCTTTGAAGCCCGGCACGGCACAAGTGCAAAGACACACAAAGACAAAGACACAGACGCGCGCGCGACTCACGGATGAGATCTTGTCCATGTCGGGATCCGAAGCGCCAGCCAACTTTGTGAGGTTTAGGCCCACGAGGCCGGGCAGGGTTTGGGACATCCAGTTCGTCACCATGGCCATCGTGCTGAGTACCACCCCAAGTTTGAGCAAGGGAACCGATGCCCCGATGCCCGTCGAGTTCGTGGTGACGTTGAGACCGTGGCTGGAGGCCTGGGGTAGCCCCTCGGAGGACGGGCGCGCAACGTGGCCGCACAAGGTCACGCACAGGAGCAGCACCGTCAGCTGCGGTCGCGCTGACTTCGTCATCGTGACGACGGTGTGCCACGATATCTTTGTTGTCTCGGCTTCGCGTTGCCACCGTTGTGTGTGCGTGCGTGCGCGTGTTGTCGTGTGTGTGCGCGCGTGTCTGTTGTAGGCGGGTGATCGAGGGAGGCGGCAGGTGGAGCGATGCCACCAAAGTCGCGTCTCGCTGCGTGTCCACGATGCCACGACCCAAATCCCTGACGCCGGCGCGCCTCGTCAGTCCCGTTTGGCTATCGCGGTCGATGACGACGATGTTTCTCGCCACGTTATGATCACACAGTGCCCATGAATTGGCGACCAAATGTCGTTGGTTTATATCGATATGTTGTGATTTGATGAATTGCAATAAGTGGTAGCACTGGTAAGTTTTTTTTTGTGAAATTTGAAAAAAAAGCGGCTCTTGTGGTTGATGGGAGAGCTTCTCTCCTCTCTAACCCGGCCGCTCCGTCACACGAGCGCGTTGGTGGCAGACCACGAGGAACGCCAAAAACAAACTTGGTAACTTTCACTTCTCGCAGAGTGGAGCTTCGAAGACGCAACTTCAGCAGATCCAATTCTGGCACCACCACCCCCCTCCCCGCCCCCCTCTTCCCCCCTATTTCCCTTCGCCGAACCTCTCGGCCTTCTCTTCCTCCTCCCTCCTCCTCCGGTAGCAGCTTACGTGAGAGTCATGTCAGCCGCGCCCTTTGCTGGAGCTTGGGTCCCGCATCGGAGGTGGTATACGACTGGAACGATGCAGCTGCTACCGTCGCTGCTGCTGCTGATATTGCGTCCACTTTCATGCCCTGAGGATCGCTGTCACGATGATGGAGCGGGAGGCGCTCTCTTCGTAGCTGGAAATCTACAAAAGGTCTCACTTGACGTTCTCAATGATGCTCGAAGAGCGTCGGTACGTGGCGGGTCACAGGAGATTAACAGCACAATGTCGCTTTGTGAAAGCTCCGCACTTCGCCGCTCGCTCACTCGCTCGCTCGCTCTCTCTCTCAGTGATCTTCCCTCTATCTCCCTCTCTCCTATCGCCCTCTCTCGTCTCGCTCTTTTCGCTTGGCCCTTACCCCCCCCCCCCCACCTTCTGGCGTCGCCTCGCGATTGCTCGTTGAAGGATGCGGGGACCGCGCGTTCGGGTCGCGCGTGGGGCTGTTTAGCGCAGCGCGGTTATCGCAAGAGCGCTTGACCGAGCCCCCCCCCCTACTACTATCTCGCTAGCAATCAAGAGCCGGGCCGGCGGCACAACGAGACGTGGGCAACGGGCGAAACAAATGAACGTATAAATAGCACGGACGCATGACATGTGGGAGAGTGAGAGAGAGTGTGTGTGCGAGAGAGAGTGAGAGTGTGCGCGTGTAAGGGCAACGCGGAACAAACACACGAACAAAACAAAAACAGAAAAGCGAATGTCACGTCGGTCTCTCCCGCCGAGATGACCTGCCGAGTGATCAAGGATGCGCTGTGACCGCGAGGGAGACGGCGAACGAATGTACGAATGTATATTTGAACAGATGGAGACTGCAACTCGCAATATAGCACGAGCTGGCCGCTACAAAGTTCTACGCGTTCGGGCTGTCGGCTGGAGCTATCGCTGCTGCTGCTCCTACTGCACTCATTCGGATAGATGACGATGATGATAGTGCTGCTGCTACCGAACGATAGAACTGCAGAGAGAGAGAGGCTCCCCCGCTACGCGAAATCGCCCCTGCGTCGACTATCAGGCGGCCCTGTCCGCTTCCTCTAAAGCCGCGACAGCACCCAACACTTTGCGATGGACGAATTGAGAAGGAATGAGCAACTCGCGGTGGCTAATATATTCGTGCCTGTTTGTTTCCTTCGGTCCTAGGGCGCGCTGAATATTACATGGAAAACGGAGCGTGACGGCAAGTAGCCCGATTGAAAACACAATAGCCCAATACGGCTAATAAATCTTTACCGCAAACACATCGATCGGCAGCAGAGTACGAGCAGAGCACGGGAACTCACAGTTTCCAGTCGCGTCTTGCAGTGTGTTAACGCTAAATCGAATTCCGATACCCAGGGACTCGACTGATCTTTTTGGGTGGCTTTGAAGGATACGTACGCTGCGCCAATTTTACTGCGAGCGAGCGATCGAGCTATAAGGAAATAAAATAATAAAACTGTAATTAACGCACACACACACACAAAAAAAAGCAACACACCACGTTGTCTTCTACGAGCCGGGCATTTGCCTATTCACCCTCGCAAGCCAGAATGGCCTCTCAAAGCGAGGTGGATTTGTTGTTGCTGTATTTCTTATTCGAGCCACTCTTGTATTACAGCACCGATGTAACAACTCGTATCCCCACTCTCTCTCTCTCTCTCTGGTGCGAATCCAAAGCGATCGCAGCCCGCACAATACGGCATCAATCAGACGCGGAAGCGCATGCGCGCCGGCCACCTCGGGACGGCGATTTTTTTTTCTCTCCCTCCTCTGAGCTTCGTTCATCTGCTGCTCTCAAGCAGCAGCAGAGTCCCAGGCATGCGCACTGACGGGAGAGCTCCCCTCCTCCTCCTCCGTCAGGGCTTTGCTCTCTCCCTTTTCCCTCTCCCTAACCGCTCCCCGTCTCTCTCCCCTCTCTCTCTCTCTCTTACTCCCGTAGGCAGCAACGCCTCCCCCCACCACCATTCCCGCCCTCCCTCCCGCTCTTCTCTCGCTCCCTCCCGCTCGCTCGCTCTCTCTCTCTCTCTTATCTTCTCTACCCTTCCTCCCCCAATCCTACCCGCTTCTCTCCCCCTCCTCCATTTCTCTCTCTCTAGCTCTTCTTCTCTCTCTTTTTTCGATCAGAGGAAAACAGAAGATGCTCGGTGTAGTCGGCGCTTGGCTTCGTTCATCATTTCGTTTTTTATGCTTTGCTTTATGTAACCCCCCCCCCACACACTTTTTAAATGAAAGGTTTAACAAAAGATTTCTCGTTCTGCTCTCCTTACCCCTTCCCTCTCTCTCTACCCCCCTCTCTGCTCCCCCTCTCTCTACCCCCCTCTCTGCCCCCCCTCTCTCTCTGCCCCCCCTCTCTCTCTACCCCCTCTCTTCCTATCTCTTCTCTCTCTCGCGCTCTCTCTCTCTCGGCACGCTGACTTTAACCCTACCCGGCTACATCCATCTCGAGCTTGCCATGCCAGCGACGCGATAGCGCAAAAATGCGCCTTAACAACAAACAATGCGTAACAACAACAACACAAAGCAGCAATCTAAGCTAGTCCTACTACCACCACTAATAATAATAATCGACGAACAAGAGGCAGGCAGGTGTTAAGGCGAATGCTGTTCACGCGTGTTTGGGATCCGAGTTGTGTGTAGCTCGCAATCGGAAATGTTGATTGGGAATTAGCGCGACGCGAGCTCCACTTGCGCACACATTGTACATTAGCAGCTTAGCGCGCGGCAAGGACGCCGGTGGCGACTGCTCGCCAATGATTCCCGAACATCTTCACGACGTTCGGCTGCCATTAAGCAGACGGCGCCAACGCCGCAACAACGCCGCAATGGATGCGGCAATTATTTTTAATTAATGTTTGTGCGTTCGCCTTGGCAGCGGCAATGTGTTCACCGGGGGAGCCGATGACGTATTCCCCGTGATAGCGAGGGGCGCTCGATGGGTGCCGACGTGTTTTATAGAGGAGCAGGCTACCGTACGCACAACCCCCTGTTACTAATCACGCGGTCGCTCACATTGCCACGCCTTAGGGCTCCTCGTGTTGGTAGCCCGTGGGTGCGAGTGTATTTATCTGTGTGTGCGTATTCAGGGTCGGAGAAGATGGAACCGCATGACTCTCGTTCCGTATCCTCCCTCTCTCTCAATTTCTCATTCGCGCTCTCTCTCTCTCTCTCTCTTCAACTCTCCGTCGCACACCTGAATGCGTCTTTCAACGCGGGAACCGCACAGCCATCGTCAAGAGCAACTGCGCGCACTGTACGCGTCCGTGCGTGCGGTTTCCACGATGGAGCGAGATAGGGGGAGCGAGGATGTGAGAGGTCGGAGGAGGTGTGGTGGTGGTGGAAGGGGGGTGGTGGTGGTGGGGTGTGAGAGATGGAACGGGTGGGTGGGTCCCGTGAGATGACTCGGCGTGTATGTATGCGCGCGCGAGAGAGAGAGACGACGGGGATAGGGTGGTGGTGTTGAAGGTAGGGGGGTTTGTCATCTTCACGTCAGCGACCTGCTCTGCGCAAGCGCACTCGCGCGTTTAATCAGAGGCGGCGAGCGCAGCAGCGCCGGTAATGTGATGCGGAGCGAGTGAGCGAACCCTGTCACTCAAAGGTGTGCGGCCGAGCGAGGGGTGCTCGTTAGTCACATGATTCAATCCGTGCGCTGATGGTGACGATAATGATGACGACGATGACGATGACGAAGATGATGATGACGATGATCATCGTCGTCATCACGATGATGATGACGACGATGATGATGATGATGATGACGACAACGATGACGATGATGACGACGGTGATGACGACGGCGATGATAACGACGATGACGATGATAATGACGATAACGATGGCGATGATGACGACGATGATGATGACGACGACGATGATGACGATGATGATGACGATGACGACGATGATGACGATGATGATGACGACGACGATGATGACGACGATGTTAAGTGACGCAACGAGATGTTCTCGCACAGAACAGAACAGCACTGATCTGTTCTGGAGTTTCATTTTTACAATGCAGTATATCCGTGTTTATATACTGCGCGATCAGCTGTAGAAATGCCTAAGAGTAGCCGAAATGATGTGGACGAGAACACACCTGCGCTTTCAAATATGTATTTTGATGCAGTATGTTGCTTTAAAATATATAGATTTGTTTTTTTCTTGGCGGTGTACGACTACGATCCGGAGCGTTGGAGGCAAGGGTTGGTGGGTCACGTTCAGACTCAGCAATGGATTCTTGAATCTATCCGTGCGGAACTTTGAGTGGTATGCGTGGTGGTATACCTCCGGGTAGTCCGATGGCAGTCTAACGCGAAGCAGGACATGAAACAATGGCATTGATTGTCCAAGCCTCCGAATGTAGCAACACCCCCTTAAACAGCGTGTCTTGAGATTCACTCGGCCTTTCCGAGGTAATTATTGGACAAATGCCAATACTAATTCTTCCGAACAACTTCACTCGACCGAAACCTCGAGATTTTTTTTTTAAATCTCATAATTTTGAAAGATTCCATTTCGTTATGAATTATTTGACCTGATCCATGGGACGTGATCGCCGTAGCGGCAACGTCTCAAGCTATCGTCGTCTTGTCTCGATTATCAGACACCTACCCCCCCCCCCCATTTGTTAATAGGGGAAAGCATGGGGTGCGTATTATAATCCAATAGGGGGGTGGGTGGTGCGCCTTTTCCCCCGGAGCGTCTTATTATCCAGAGACTATGATATTTTATCTCAGTGTATAGAAACGGTTTGAGACGGTTGTTTTCATCATTCTAGAGAGCAGGCAGATTACTTTCTTTGTCAAAGCAGTAATCTCCAACATCAATGTGCTTATTCCTTTTTAATAAAATATCAGTTAAGCACAGATGAGACTATCAAAGACAAAACAAAACCATCTCCCAGTTCATTATGCCATCACCACTCAATCGTGCCTGTGCATTATTCTGTACGTGCATACACAAAGGCAGAGATCCCCCGGATAGCCTTTGCAAGACCGTTTGGGGCAAGTGCTGTTAGCGGGCACCGATAAAGGACGGCACGGCACACGAAGGGTATGGTTGGCCAGCACCATGCCCGACCGCCTTTATCTCCCCAGTGGCGATGTTTACACGCCGCTTCCGCGACAGATGTTTAGCCGAACATCTGATGTCATCTGTATTTCTGAGCATGCGGGAACTCATTGAAGACGAATGTCTCTTTATCAAGTGAGAGCTGGGTTACAATATCAAACGCAATGCAAATAAGCATAGAAGAAAACAAAACCACATCTGTAACAATTTCAAAACGTTCATAAAATACCTTGTTACGAATCGTTAATAATTTTGCTTTTAAACATTACGGGCTGTCGAAAAAAACAAAAATCGAATGGTATATTTGTCCTCCACGTGGTAACTTGATTTGATTTGCTCTGTCTGGTGGTGGAGGGTTATAGTTACAACTCTGACACGATCCAACCCAAAAGAAACGAATTATGAGTCGTCGTGAATGCTTAAAGCTGCTATCTATATACAGACGTGAATTTGGATTTTGGTTTCAGCCAAAAATACGCGAGGACAAGTCGATAAGATAAAGAAGATAAAGACTCCATGAGCTGGAATGCAATGATCATGCACATTCTCATTCAGGTTGTTCAAGCAATTCATTGTAGAAAACGGATTGACAGGGGATACTCCCGCAATGGAACTTAATCGTTTCATGTGAATAGATATATCAACAGATAAATACATATACGGAACCTCTTTGTCAATCAGCTAATGAATGAAGGCATCCACAATCCGTGCGTGCAACGCGGCCATGTCGGTTTGTTTGGCCATACTTCACCCCACTATGCGCAGTGCGGGTTAACAACGGAGGGTGGGGGAGTTCATATATCACTCGCCACTCAACTGGCATGTGTCGTATGTACAGTGAACCTCTTTCGCGCCGTACGCAGCCAACCGCGCTCATCGGAGGTGTGAAAGGTCGCGAGCGGCACGAGGCGGTGCTGGATTGGCCGCAACACCACGGAGCGGGCGTCTTTCTCCCCTAGCGTTCAATGCTTCGGAATGTCAGAATCAGAATATGTGCTTATACTGGAGGAATCCGATGAGCTATAAAGCTCTTTGTCACAGATGTCCAGTAGGGGCACGGGGTAAGAACGTTACAGCAACAAACAATAAAAAAAACACGATCGTAGTGCAAAGTACAAGAAAGGTAAATAAATCACCCAAAGACATACAAATAAAACGATACCATTCCCATCCGCCCAAACAAAGCCCGCTGGGGGATTAACTTCCTGTTCAAAAGCGACCTGTCCACAAATAATAGCCACTCAACAAAGTGGCCCAACATTTGGACACATCGTACTGCCATGGCTTCGGCGATCGACCTCGAACGAACGGGGAGAGCAACTCGGATCGCAGGATTAATTGCATTTGCACAAACCACTAACCACTGTGGAAATATAACCCACGCGGCCCGCTCCAGTTGAACGCATGACACGTCAGCTTGTTCCACCTTGGTGAAGCGTCGCGGATAACGGAGCATTCTCCGCATCTCCCGACGGTTCATTCTCTCTGGTAACCGTGGGGGTAGGAATGGGGGGGGGGGGGGGGGGGTTGGCAAATGAAAGGCTCCGCAAGAATACACGTGACCTTATTCTTTTGCTTGTTGTTGCGCTTATAATCCGTGCCATATAGCCTGTGTTTTTTTTTGTACTTGTACACTACGCGCACTGATACCACACAGCGTATATAACCCCATACATCATCATAATAGAAAGCATTTGCCCGGAACTAACAGCACGAAAGGTTTTTTTTTTTACCAAAATGTAAAATTGATGTCACTTTGCCCCAACTACCTCGCATTTCATCATTAGCTCGCGCACGGAAACGCGCGCGAATTTC